AGTTGTAATATTGATTATTATGCGCCCTTATTTCAAGTCATTTCATTCACCTCAGGATGCCGGCTTTTTACTGAGCTTCCTTTTAACCACCTGCATTTTCTTTTTAAAAAATGCTGCTTAAGCAGTATGCGTTTAAGTCATTAATTTCCACTGCCCTCAAAAATGCAGATATATCTTATAGAAAACATTTTTTCTTGTATTCGTTTGCTAGAAAATTACGCCTTCTTCCTTTTATACTCGAAGAAGCGGTATCTTTCGATTTTAAGAAAAAGTTAATAAATTGCTGAATCATTTTGAAATCTACCGACCGTTACACTTGAATTCAAGGTTTCCAAACTGCATGTTGTGTACATCCTGACTAAGGAAAAGTATGTTTTTCCCCACGCGTGTGAGGAAGAAATCACATGGCCCTCATAAAATTTTGCAATAGATGTGCGTCCTGCTCTAACCATTTTAGGCAACATTAATAAATCGACGGATACAATGCGCTATGAATTAACATTTCACAGTCGTAAAAATGCAATAAGTAGAAATTTTTGTAAAACCAACAGGTGCCCTTCCCTAAAGTATAAAATTTAAAGAAGGCGTAATTTGTTAGCAAACGGGTACAAGAACGAGCACTTTCGTGCATGTTTTCTGTAGAATATATTAATAATTTATAGGGAAAGTGAAAATCAATAAGTTAAATGCATACTACTTTAGTAGCCATTTTTACAGAATCTGCTTTCTGCAGATGCTCAACAAGAAGCTCGTTAAAAAGCCGGCATCCTGTCTTGAATGAACTGCAAATCTGAGAACTTTGCATGGCTTCCCGGCCGTACTGTGGTAGTGTCGAACTTATACTCTTCCAAAGTTAATTATTTTCTATTTCGGCGCATTATTCTGAAAGATACATCCAAGTTCAGCGTGCAAGGGTAGTCCAGCTTAATGCTGAGAGTACAACCTATATACATAAGTGTAATTATTTTATTTTGGGGTAGGCTCCCCTGTTATTTGCAAGTCGTAAGTAAGTCTAACGTCCCTTCAAATAACTGCAGATAACGTACTCTGGAGTTTGAATGTCAGTACCCTTGCGTTCTCCTCTTAGAGCAGCCAATGATACGCATACTATCTGTCTTGCTCATCTCATGAACATTCATTGGTAAGGATAGTTAGTTTATCAGTATCACCATAGTATATCATAACCCATGATTCCTCTTTTACGGAACCGCCGATAAAATTAAAAGCCTTTCCCTTTGCATGTACAGATGGCATGTCTTTTGGACCAAATATTTGAACAGGAACGAGACATGACCACTAATTAAAGGCTACTTTATTTTGCTTGTATTTTAGTTGTATGTAAGTATCCGTGTGCCTTCTATGTAGGTAGTATGATTTAACCTGCATTTCAATTGTTGAAACGACTAGTCCCTAGTAGAATAAATGGTTAGTTTCATTTGCTATCGCTTCATACAACAGAAGTATTTCCTACATTATTGTCGCTCGCGTTTAACAGAATTCTGGGCTTATGCGATACTATGGTGATACTTATAAACTATCCTTGCCCACTCATTTTGTAGGTACTCTCGGAAAAAATGAAAATCGAATTTTTGAACGCCAATTAGTTAGGCGCTGCGCGCATGGACCTATCTTTACTGCAGGACATGCGCCCAATTCGGCTGTGTATTTCCGGTTAATAGAGCCCTCGGATGGTTGCATAACGACGTACAAGTGCTACTTTGAAAGACAAAGGGGAACTTCGTAGGGATTCCAACATTTGACACTCATTGTTGAACGTTCTCTCAACCTAAACCGGCAAGCCAACGAACTCGTGGCTCATTGGTTACAGCGTTAGACTCTGATCGAGATGGTCGCGAGTTTGAGCCTTGGTTAGTTCACTACTTGGGGTTTGGGTATGACTGGCTGCGTCGAAGTCCAAGGAAATTGTAAGTGAAGGGAAGCCTTAGGGTGAGATAAGGGTTAGGTTAAGGGCTTATGTTAGTATCAGGGTGAGGGTACGAAAATATTTACCCTTCCTGGAACGTGACGCAAAACCTCTTTATCATATGGAGGTTTTCCTAGTCCAGTGTCCTCCAGGTGATGTGGGAGCTAATAAGCAATTCCAACCAAAATTCACTAGTGTTTTTTGGTGCATTTTGAATCAATTGCTAAACTGTGTCGTTAATATGTTGCCTCTGAAATGCAGTTGCGTCAGATCTTTATATATTTTTCCAGTATCCCCGACACAGTCCACACTGTCAAAATTCTGATTTTTAGTGAACCAAGTCACGTTTTTTAACGTTTGTGGCCAAGAGTAGATAACGTTCTTTGGTGCTATTTGGGCATAGGAATAAATTTTATTCTTCCATATGTAGTTGACGATGAACATTCTCGCCTTCCAACAAAGTAAATGCTACATTCCTCAGTTTCCGAAAAGAGTTTAGGAATATAGGATAGCCCTTAAACTGACTGACTACTATAACGTCTAGAGCACAGTTGGGACTTGTGTGATATATTTAGGCATGCTATCTATCATGATTACGTGGGCGTTTACGGTCGGCCTTTTCTTGGTAGCTTTTATATAACGGGAGTTCATGCCTCTAATGCGTTCTTGGTACCATTTTTTCACTTTTAGCTTGAAATCGGTCCGCGAATCTCGGAGAACTTGGTTTTATTTGACCGCAGTACTCAAAGGATTCTTTCTTGCTAGTATATTACTGTTGTTTTATGCGCATGCCTCTTAGTAACACCCAGTGTGGCTCTGCACAGCCTCCCAGTTTTACTTCAAACTCGAGGGGGAGGGGGGGGCAATGACCTCTAACTCCCCCCCGCCCTAAGTCGCATACTGCGCGACAACTATGAAGGAGACGGCCGGTTACGTAGCGATAGAGTTCATGCTGCCG